GTGGGTGTGTGAGGGAGGAAATTTTTTTAAAAATTAAAAAAAAAAAAAAAAAAAAAAAAAGAGAGTTGAGTTTGCAACTGAGCTTTTTGCAGAAGAAACAAAATAGAAAAAGCACAAGCACAGTGTTTTCATCCCTGCTGACAACACTCAATCTGTAAAGTTGTTCTTTTTTTTCCCCCCCAAATTTGTCTTAAAATACACTTTATTTAACCAGATACTGGACTGGAAACTGGAAAAAAATAGCTTTTGTTTTTTAGTAAATGTAGGAAAGGCTGCTCTCACCATCAGTGTCCTCCAGAGCTTGGATCATGTCAGGATCCAGGGCTGTGCTGACCAACATTTCTACATAGCTTCTGAACATCTCCCTCATGGCACGGTTGTTTACTCCTCCCTTGACCGGCACTGAGTAGGAGGCAATTAAGAGTTCAAGTCAGTTTTCATCATACATAGTCCGTTTTTCAGTCACAACACAGTCAGAATTAGGCTCAATCTTAGCATAATTAAAGTATATTTAAAAATATAAACTACAGTCGGCCGTCGCTATATCGCGGTTCGGCTGTCGCGCCCTTAGTGCATTGTTTTTTGTTTTTTTTAAATATATTGAATATATTCCTGTATTGCAGATTTTTCATTCTATCTCAGGTTTTCGCAGTATAGAAAAAAAAAATGTAAATTTCCAATATTTTCATTATTTGGTGATAAAATAAGCCTAAGAAGAAAAATAAAAACAGTAAAAAAAAAAACTAAATTAAAAGACATACATACAGGGTATATTATATACTTAAATAATATAATAACTATCAAGTCTCTACTTGAAGACCGCTGGCGGTCTTCTGTAACACATACATACAGGTTATTGCAAGAAATAACTTATGTTATTTTTATTATACGTACGGGTAAACGAGATTTGTGACGGTTTCGTTAATTTTTTTGCCATTTTTCATGGCATACAATGCCTCCTATCACGTCTCTATTTCGCCTAGATGAGAGACCACTTTATATCTGTTTAAAACATCTGTAAGCGTAGTATAGTATAAGTATATTAGAACATTTTGATATTTAATGAAATAATAATATTATTTTACAAAACATCATGAACATGGAGTGTTTATGCTTTTTTTTTTTTCATTCAAAATTCATCAGGGGGGCCAGATTGGACCAGGGGTCTTATGTTTGACAACCTGCAATAAACAATAATATTCAGTTCCATATGTTGTATATCTTTTATATCAGCAGTGTAAGCATACATATAGCATCTTTGCTGTATCAAGGACCGGTCAGTTATTTTGTGAGTTTCGGAGTCTAAATGACATATTATTTAAAATATTCCAGATCACCTTTAAATGAAGAAAGTAAATGGATACGACTAGATTCTCTTTGAAAAGTTTTTTTTTTTTTTTTTTGTCTACATTTTGGCTACACTGGGATGATGTCCGGTTACAGTATTGCATATTTATTTATTATTTACTTTTTAAACTTTTATATTAAAAAAAAAAAAAACTTCTAAAGAACAAATGAACACAGGAGTAAAGCAACGTTAAATAAACTAACGGAAAAGTCATTAGGGCTGTCAATCCTCCCCTCAAATAAGATTCAAATTTTTAATGCTTCTTATGTTAAATATAAAAATTATATTAAAATGTTTTAAATG